TCCTCCTCCGGCAGCGCAGTGCAGGGCGTGACAGACGGGGAGGGTTTAAGTGATGTCAGGGACTGTCTTAGCTGCCCTCCCGGCCCCCCTCGCTGTGCCCAGAAGCCGATGCCCGGCTGCTGCCCGCCTTGGGGCAGGGGGAAGCAGCTTTACCACCACCTTGGTGCTGTGGAGGGGGGGCAGAGCCCTGCAGCGCAGGGGCATTGCCCCCTCTCCCCTCCTCTGGGTGTGCCTGGGGGGCAACTGGAGCTGCCCCACTCAGGGGATCACTCCCAGGGGGTGTCAGGCCCTCCTGCCTCTCCCAGCTGTGGCCACTGACCCCCACAGCACAGGGACGTGGTGGGGTCCCCAGCTCAGCCTGTGCATCTGTTTCCCTCCCATCCCACGGACGCTGGCCCCAGCAGCAGCCAGAATGGGACCATACTCAGGAGGGAAAGGAGATATATTTTATTTTTGCCCCAGAGGAGGCAGTGAGCTCAGCCCTGGGCCCTATGGGGAAGCAGCTCAGCCCCAGGGATGAGGACGACACGCAGTGATGAGGGAGGCCAGCACTGGCTGTGCTGCACAGAGTGAGTCAGGGTCTGGCTGCCACCTCCCCGCTCTGCTGAGCCCCAGCCTCACTGTGCCAGGCCATGAACCCAACGCTGAACTGGTGCTGGTGCTGCACACGCCAACCAGCAGCTCTCACTCCAAGGACTCACCACTTACCGAGCCGGTTCTCCAAACCAAACCAGTAACAAGCCCCAGTTAAGGGCCAGACTTCCTGCAGAGGCTTTTTGGAGGCGGAGAGGAGGGATGCGAGCAGAGACGCTGTCTCAGAGAGCTGGGGGCTGTGCCAGAGAGGTGCCACCACACCGGGAGGCACCTGGCCCTACAGAGCCAGCGTGTCCTTGATGAGCCGGCGCATGGTGGTGGTGACCGAGGTGCCCAGGGAGTCCGTGATCTGGTAGGAGATCTTGTACAGGTAGGGCTGCACGTCCTTCAGGCTGGTGTCAAAGACGCTGTCCACCTCGGACTGGGTGGGCATCTTGGGCAGGTACTCGTGGCGGTTCATCACCTCCACGATGTTGATGATCTTCTCGCAGAGCTTCTCGCCCACTTTCTCCCTGCAGATCTGCCGCTCCTGCTCGTTTGCCAGGTTCACCACGTTTACCTTGATGGTCCACAGCTCCCAGAGGATGGACTCGTCTGAGAAGGGCCAGCGTGACTTCTTCTTCTGGTAAAACTCCAGGGAGATCTGCCCCATCCCGTCGCTGCCTGAGCTGCGCAGTGCATCCTGCCAGGAGAGCATGTGGTCCCACTCAGGGGGCTCCTGGGACTGACTCCCCCCTTCCAGGCAAGGACACAGCACAGCCCACAGGCTTTTAAGCTCCTATTTTCAGCCCTGCCAGGTTCCCATGGGGTTCCCTTACCTTGAACTCCCCGACAGCCTTGCGGAGAGCCCGGTCCAGCTCCTCGGAGGAGACGCGGACATAGGCGAAGTCGATGAAGTCACAGTCCACATCCTGGGTGCCCACGGTGCCGATGGAGTAGGTGCCTTCCTTCTTGTAGTGGAACTTGCCCGTGCTGCGGTGCAGCAGGATGGTGTGGAGCATGGCCAGCATGGCCTCCTCCACCTGCCGACCCTCCACCGACACCTCCAGCACCTCCGCGCGGCAGTTCATGGCGGGGGTGGCTCTGGGGAGGGCACAACAGTGGGTTCTGTGAGGAAAGAAGGGTGGTGGTGGGGGTTGTCAGTTGCTCCCTTGCTTGGACAACAGCCCCGGGTAACCGCCCTTTTGCCAAGCCCCTTAACCCACC